GGTAGAGCTTAAAATAACCAAACTTTCAGATTTTAAAAGAAATGAAATGCATTGCAATTAAATTTTACGTCTTTGTAACACCAATCTGGACGCTGGACTTGTATTTCCAACGTGCCTAAATCACGTCTTTGTCTGGGTATTCATTTCGTACATGTAGATCTGTCACTTAAATGGTTTATGCTCGTTTAGAAGATCTGACCTCTGATATGCATCAGAGCATTGAAGCAGAAAATACGCTCAATCCTCCATAATCAGTTCCACACTAATCATTCGGAAGTTGAGCAATAAAAAGTTGAATTAATATTTCATAACTGTCAGATTCGACAGCTGCATATCGGAGAAATTTACTTCAAGAGTAAGAGTTTACCTGTTTCCATAGTAACCAATTCAAATTATGAGAAGTGTGATATGATTAATCAATCATGGATTTTTAAATTTACTTTTTTGACAAATGACACGGTCGGTCAGCGAGCATCAATGTCATTTTTGAATATTCAAGACAGATAGCAATATACATCGATCACGTAAGAGCATGACCAATTGCTATTCGATTTTAATATCGACTTCATGTTAAACCACTACGTTATAAAGAATTCTCATTAGGCCATGGATCTTAAATGTCCTATGCATATAATTTAAATGAACTAAGAGTATACCGACATCTTTTCGGCTTCATCAAAAATATTAAACGTTGAATCATTACGTTTATCGACTATTGAATGCTAGAACGAAGTTTGAAGGTAGTAGCCACTTTACAAACTAATCGACAGAACATAAACACTAGCAGATTCTACTTGTAAGGTTATGCATCAAAATAACATAAAATGTTCTGCAACATTCTTTGAGTAATCTGAAACTAGCAACTAAGGCTTTCCAACATTATATATTAATAAGCATCTGGACACATTAACACTCGATATTCCATGAATGGATGTCTAATGAATATTACCACGACATTCGATGAACAGAACCATTGACTATTATGTAATCACAAGTAGGAAAATCAAACTCACCAAACTCAATTGATAATGGTTTAGTTAGTATGTAGTTTTCGAACAAGATGGTTATCATATACAGCAATGGGTATTTGTGCCTATAGTGAACGGAGTTCTTTGGAGTACTGATGTAGATGAACCATCGAACTCTTTGTGCTTGAATAAGTAACTTAGTGTCTCAGTAATGTGGATGATTAAAATATTATTCTCAGTCTAATATGTCTAGAGTATGGTTGGCATAACGGTTAACTAATGTGTGAAATATGATCATCCAATATATGTACGTTTAGGTTTATTCGATTTTTTATATTCGTGGAGTGTGTGAGGGATATTTGTTACCACTTTACGATACCGACAAAACATAGATGGGCATTAACCTTGTGACATACTAGCTTCCATGTTTTAATTTATCCGCTGTGCTCTTCTGAGAATTTGTCTGTTAAAAGCAAACTTCTGTTTATCAAGGGTATGTTTCGTAAGAATTTAATGTTTAATTTTTAGACATATTTTAGTGGTCGACTTCACGATAATATTATTGACAAATATGATAATATCTATAATTACATCGTTTGAAATTTACTTGACGATTTATTCGCTTTTTATCAAAAATAGATGTATATTAATAGTAACATTGACCTACATTGGAATTACATTAAATATTAAGTTAAAAAGAGTTACTTCCATTGAGATAAATAATTAATTCACTATCTGATACAGCTAAGTTTCAGACCTCAGCGGTTATTTTCAGAATGATAGTCACTCTAAAACACAGACTGCCAATTAGGACTTGGTATTGGATTAATTAAGTCCACAAGATTACGATAGTGGATCATTCGGCCTACCGATTGTTATTGATGTATGTAGTTGTATCTGCTAGACAGTTTACCTAAATTTGGACAGTAAATACATGTACTGTGCTTTTCTGAAGACATCGATTGTGATTTCGAATGCAAATTCTGGCAATTGGTTTGTGAAAATATTTTAAAATTGATAACCCTGATTTTGTCTGCAGTGGTATTAAGAGTGATCAATTGCATGGAAGATAATCTTGTACATGTATAGCTTGAGCTAGTTAAGAAGCAAATAAGGAACATAATTTACATTTGGAGCTACATTGAGTAACAAAACTGGCGTTATGGGACACAGTTTGAGTAAACAGTGGTAATTAAGTAGTCATCTGGAACTAGGAAGGTTAATAATGCGGTTCTGTAGGGTTAATTAGCATCAGAATGATGAGATAATGGCTAACATTCAACTTGGTAATTACCGATAGTACAACCGATACATTAAATTTTCATATTTCTCTTTATTCACCCTTGAATTAATTTCCCCGAACTGCTCCCTTGTTGTTTGGATCTATGATATGCTAATATCAAGTCTGTGTCTGTCCTGTATCATTAAGATATTGTCCATGATAGAACTGCCAAGTTATGTCATATCATGGTTCTGACCAGTTCTATGGCCAGTTACATATGTCCAGAATGGGTAAGTGATCAAGGGATAGGTCTTACATCATGTTTGTCTATTTACTGGATGAACAGATATTGTTAAAATCATTTCGACATGTTACCAAACGACCTGGAGATAGCAGTTATTTATCATGTAGGTCTTCCTTTCTTCCTCTTCATTGTGTGTTGGACATATCGAATAGTATGGATACGTCGAGGTTGAGAAACGTTTGTGGGCGTTTGTAGGATGTAGGATAGGATTGTAATAGTGCTGTTGATGTGGTTTTGATAGTTTCCTCCTGGTGAATTAGTTTATTAGGTATCCATTAGATCTCTCCTGGTGATTTTAATAATGGTTTTGTCAAGTATATTTTGGTGTTCGTCTTATTTGAAAATTTCAAATATTATAGATTTTGATATGAATATGTCGGCATTCTCGTAGTTTGAAAAACTTTCCGAAATAGATCGGCTTGCATGCTTCATTTCTGGCTATCTAATTCTTATGCAAATATTCAAGGTTAATGTTAACCTTAATGTTAAATTTTATGAATTAGTGTTCCATTTTAAGGTTGATGCAGCATCGTGGTTTTTATTGTTATGTTTTATATCACGCTCATACCCAGACAAAATATGATCGTTTCTTTTTGTTAAACGGTCAATTTAAAGTCAGTTTTTTATTCTCCGGTGAGAGCTACTCTGGATGATAAAGTTAGAATATTTATTGACATGTCGATGTAATATCATTTCCTTTATTTTATACTTTATATTGGTTTTATATCCTTTCTCTCAGAAGCTAGAGATCTGATATTAGTATGCGATAGAAGGGTTGTAATTTACTCTAGCTTTATCTCATTCACATTGTCCCTGGAGTCGTTCTGCACACCGATATCGTAATCAAGATGCATGCCATCCTATTTTGTCAGACTTTATTAAGTTTAATATTCACTAACGACCCTAGCTACGTAACAAATACACCATAGGGATTTCTAATTCTTCCAGTAAAATTTTATAAAAACAGTTCCATGCTTGCCAATATGTAAAGCTGCCTATCTGTTGTGATAGGCAGGTGGTCTGGAAACTGAATTGTCATCGTAAGATGCAATTTAGCTGATCGAGATTTTGTCGTACTTTTACTAGGATTATAATGCCAACCATTTGCTTAAGTTCGGAGTTCTTTAAGAAAAAAAAAGTTGTTTCGGAAGGATATTGTCCAGTTTATTGTTTTTGAGATAATGTGTAGATTAGGGAATAAGGAAACGTCCTTCATTAGTATACGTTTCTCAGCTTTGTTTGTAAATTGCAGTGCGGACAGTCTTGTTTTATGAAATTCTGTGTAAAACTACTTTGGTAAATTGAACGGAAGAGTAATCTGGTTCTGGAGTTACTCGTAAAACAGCATCACGAACTCTGGATGGTTTAGTGCAGCCATCGCATTGACCAATCAGAACTTTGTAAATTATTAAGATACGATCATCTGAGGTTATGATGTTACTGACAGCGTAGCATTGGCCTCGACTCAAAACTTGCTGAACGGTTTTATGGACATTACAAGGAAATTAAAATTAAATAATGATACGGCGTGGAACTCATTAAAGTCTTTATGATACATTGATAGTGAGGTAATTAGTCAACTATTGCATGTTGATGATGAAGCTTGTGGATTATTAATGAAGTTAAGGTGGTGACTTGTTCATTCAGGATTTGTCCTCAGTATAAGATGAACTCTTCACGGTTTTGGAGTAAAGATGTTAAGATTATTTAGCTGTTTTTGATAATGCTAGGATATGTGTAAGTTTCACTTTTAACTTATTATCTGCATCATGTACAATTTATTATTATATTTTTAACCATGACTTTTAAGATTAAAGTTTGGATCACCTAATGTGATTCTGTTGGAACTCTTTGAGAGACAGATGTAGCAGTTCTCCAAAGTGTGATTTTTTTCTGGATAGTTGTTCAATGCAACATAGTTTGCTCTTGGAATTTTGATGGGCGAATGGTTTAGGTACAACTATTTTTGTTACATTGTTTTGTAAGACTTCTGGCTATTGGAGAACAGTAAATTGTAGAGATCTGGAAGTTCAGATTTAAAGAACATTTGATCTTCATTTGACTACTGCCTCTCCACTGAGCATAAGATAGTCAATAAAAACACCCTCATCGTGAAATATTAAACCATATTCATTATCTTGACTGAACAGAAAGTAGAGGTGCATCTCCAGCTGACTAACAATTCTCAAATTTTGTAAATTTCAAGCCATAAAATTATCATAAACATGCTTATAATTTTCCACTCGGTTGCCAAAGCTATGAAAATTGAGTTTTGTCAGCGATAATTTAGAAATATAAGCCATGAGTATCTTGGACAGAAAAAATCGATTCTTTTCTGTCTCTCATTTTTATCGAATTTTACTGCCTATTAATCAAGTAAAAGAGATTTACTTAAAACCTTTTAAGATTTTTTACCCCAATTGCAAATATTCTGTCTTTGAAGTATGTCAGCTCGGATTATATTAGCTTGTTCTATTCCACATTTCTTTCTTAATTTTTTACCATGATGGAGTGAGGTTTAAGAGGAAGGCAGTGACTTTACAGTCCTAATAAATTCTTATTGCATTTTTATAACTTTTATTATCGCTTTCATTATGTAACAAGCATAGAAATGGTAGTTTTACGAATTGAAAGTGTTCTATTAGTGTTCTGTTGAGACTTTTTCACCCTGTATTGTTTGTTTTATGGATTGTTTTACTGTATTTCGATTCGTTTGTTGTTCTGAACTTTCTGTGGAATTTGTTTGATGTCAATGCATTGCGAATTGAGTGAATCAGTTGATTCGTTATTTTGCTGAGTAAGGGCTAGTTATTCTTAACTCTCCTACTTCCACTGTGATGCTTGTAAAAGTGTAAACCATTTTGTGAATCTCATTGTGTCATCCTAAATATTCCGTTGTGTAATATTTAGTAAAGTTATATCTGAGTGTTTGGAAGTGCATTACAACTTATGAACTTCAATTCAAACTGTGGACTTCTGATAATTTGCGAGATTGAAAAGGTGATTCGTTTGAATTGAATATTCTTGTGGTTTCCATTTGTCGTTTATCAAATGTTGAAAAAGACAAGTTCGTCTTGAATGTCAGGAATATAAAAGACATTCAGACCGATTATTATCATTCTAAATGATCATTCTATTGGGACAAAAACTGTCTTAATTTGTCTACATGTCTTAAATAGTAGAATGGGAATTCAAATTGAAAATGGCAGAATGTCTTTCAGTGTAGGTGTATAGAAAGGATGTTGTCTCGTTAAAAACCAATTGAGGTTATCAGTAAGAAAGAAATTGAGAAGTGCCTTATCGTGTCATTATACCAGACCCGGGTCTACTCGATAATAGTAAAGGGTACGATAAGTAGCTAATAGATTAAAGATATATCTCAAGAACGATTAGAGTTACATGGAGAACCAATTTTGTGTTAAATCTCTAGGACTTCGTTTTCAGGCACTTTCCAATTTAAGTTTCTCCAGTAAAAAAATAAAAAAGGAACTTGTACAATAAGAATTAGGTTTTAATTTCAGTTTTTTATATTTTGAAGCTTTTAAGTAGGTATAACACTGACTCATCTGGTTAATTTGATACATAACAAATGAGAACTTTTTGTTGTTGCTGAATATAAGTTCAATCGATATCCAAAATTGCTCTTCCTGGGATGAACCACAGTCGCCATGCCCACCATAGACATGCCAACCATACTCGCTCAAAACATCATCATGTGCGCACGCATAAAGGACACGTGACAAATCACGTGGGACATAACCATGTCGGCCATCATGGTCACGGTTCTCATGGAGGTCACGAGGATGTGGCGGATTTAGCTGTCCCGGCTTTAATAGGGGATGGGTAAGGCTTCACTTTCAATACGACATAGATTAACATAATACTTATCTATTTTCTGTTTATTCTCGTTCGTCGAGAAAACTATTACAAAGAACGCCGAGGAACCCAATCAACCCATTCTCATTTTGAACCAGGTTTTGAAAGATTGCATTCAAATCTACAAAATAATCATTGCGGTTGGAAACAACTGACGGAAAAACTTCATTATAAATACTTAGGTAAATTCCAAGATAACCTGCACTGATACTTCTTATTCAGTAACAAAGACTTTTGGTACCGTTTGTCCTCATTCGATTCGTGAATTTCAAATGTAAGGAACCATTGCTTCTTTACCTACTACAGTTTTGTTTGAAAACATTCCGCGGGGACTTGAAATATAATTATTGCACAAACGGTTTGTCAAGTGCAGTAATTGGTTTGACGCTCAATTTCAAATCGAACCGAAAACTGTCAAGTAGGGTTGAGAAAAAGTCAAAGGATAACATCTTTTACAAGATTTATTAGAACAAAAGTCAATTAGTTGCCGCGTCTTGGGATACCCTTCAAACTCAAACTGTTTTTTTTAGCACAGAGGCCAAATTAGATTTAAAAAATGCAATAAGTAACTTTGATTTATGTCAGTTGATTCTGTTTGTTAAAAATACGGTCTCCTTTTGACGAAGTTAGCATGTTCTGGGTTGACAGTCTACATTACTCAGACTAAACTAAAACGAAAATAATTTGAGAGGATATAAAAATGTATGAATACCCTACTGTTGTTTGCTAACATGTAAACGTCAGTGTTTCGTTTCACAAAGAATGCCTAGATTAATAACTGATTTCTTATAAATAACTTTTTAAGACTTCAAATATTGATAACAATAAAACCTTTTCACAGTCTTCACAAATACATTGGGAATGTTACTTCTCAGACCAACTGCCGTATATGAACTATATCACACCAACATCGAATAGCTTTTTATGTATAATATAATACATTTCGACTATTTTGTCCATACTTCTGAAGGTAGTATCTCAAGACAAATAACTCTGGTTTATTGCAATGACATTGTCTCTACTTCTGTCGTCTCATGCCAACGACAGGTGTTTGACTTTATACACTCCATAATAAAGAGCTTGAGAAATTTATTTTAAAGTGTGTTTCCTTTCTATTTTCAGGCTTGACAGTGTGTTGGGTAGTTTCGCCACGTACGCCAGGTTGAAAGGACGATATGATGATGATTGGATTGATCGTTTGAATCATCTGTACACCACCATCATCTTAATCATATTTACCATTGTGGTCAGTACAAAACAATATGTGGGCGAACCCATACACTGCTGGTGTCCAGCCCAGTTCGAAGACAGCCACGTGGATTACACCAATAATGTTTGCTGGATCTCCAATACATATTTCGTGTCAATGGAGCACGTTATACCCCAACATGATGCGCCGAAAAAAGAAAAAGAAATAGGTTATTATCAATGGGTGCCAATGATTCTATTGTTTCAAGCATTGTTATTTAAAGTCCCGTGTATTCTATGGAGAATTTTAACCGCTTCTGCTGGTGTAAATCTGGATAAAATCGTTACATTAGCAGCAGAAACGGCGTACATATCAGCCGAAGATCGGGAAAGAACGATCAAGCACATCGTTCGTTACATGGATCGTTGGTTAGAAAATGCACGGGAATATCGCTCTGGCTGTTTTATACGCTTACGGCAACAAATTTCAAAATACTGTTGTATAGTATGGGGGAAACGATACGGTAATTATTTAGTGACCATGTATATGTTCATTAAACTCCTTTATCTTACAAATGCTGTAGGCCAATTATTTATATTAAATGAATTCTTGGGGACGAACTATAATGTGTATGGTTTTGAAGTAATGGATCATTTAGCTCGCGGAATAGACTGGATTGATTCGCCGCGATTTCCACGTGTGACTCTGTGTGATTTCCGCATACGACAGATGCAAAATGTCCACGACTACACAGTTCAATGTGTGTTACCTATAAACCTTTTTAATGAAAAGATATTTATGTTCATTTGGTTTTGGTTGGTTTTTGTCTCAACCTTAAGTGCCGGCAACTTTTTGATTTGGACTTACACGATGATTTTCCGTCAGCACAGATTGCGATATCTTAAAAAATTCCTTCGTGTTAACGACTGTTATAAGTCCGAATTGGACAAAAAGATGGCCATAAAGTTTGGTGAACAATACTTAAGGCAGGACGGTATTTTTGTGTTGCGACTTGTTGGAAAAAATGCTAATGATGTGATGGTGTCCGAACTCGTCCTTCAGTTGTGGAACTTCTATAGGAACAAACCATTGTTTCGTCATGCCAACCAGATAAGTGACGACAATAGCAATGTCTGACTAGCCGTTACAAAATACAAAACTGTCCAATCTTTGTTAAAAATGTTAAAAATAGAATATGTGGCCCTGGGGCAGAAACCCCCCGAGCTTGAAAATCAAGTGATGCCCGATATGGGTATTGAGTTAGTAGATTTAGTTGATTTGACGCGACAGAACGGCTTTGATAGTGAGGGTGAATCGACAGGCCCAGATACCGATACGGAAGTGGTACCAGAAACGGAAGTTGATAGCGAGGGCAAGGAAACATTTGTTTAAGGTTGTGTTTTGATTGATAGTCGGATTAGTATGTCAGTCGTGACAACGAGGACGGAAACGTACCAAGTGTCGTATCGACCCTCTACTGCTACAACAATTATTAGGTCATGGTACCCGCAGGTATCATCCAGTAATGTTCCGTGTGGCAAAGTGGCCTGTATATGTTGGCTATTACAGATGCCTCTACAAATATGATTACCAGATCAAATGCCCAGATGTCTCATGTTTGGTAACGTCGAGTGATCGAGTTTCTTTTGGTTGGACAACACCCGAATTCGATAAAAGGCCAAATAAAATATACTCTTTAAAACTCCAAAATCAATAAGAGTCCAGAAATTCCGAAACACTCACGACTGCTAATTTGACGACAGGCATAACGAAACAAAGGCCAAGATTGGTAGTTCCTTGGATTTTCTCCGACTGAATGACAGTTCGTTTGTTATTGTATGTTGTCAGAATTTTTGCACCAAAATTAACTTCTATCAGGTGTACATAATTGTTTCTTAATATTTAATTCACCATCATTGATTTTTTTAGTTAATTTTTTGACATTAATTTAAGTATTACATTATTTATAATTGAAGAGTATCCGGGCATTGGTTTAAATACACTTCTATCGATTAAAGGCAAAAAGCCTTGGCATAGATTTGTTAAGCCCATTAGACACAAGATCGCTTCATCTTTATCATTAGATCATGGAAGACCTGAAAGTCGATTGCATACTACAGACTTAATAACCTTGCTGCCATTTCAATGATATAAATATTGATACCAAATTAATTACATGTATATGCATTATTATGCATGTAATTTATATTCTGTAAGAATATATAAGATGTATTAACCTTCAATCATTTCCATTTTGTACAAATATCATTCATCATGTAACGTATGACCACAATATCATTTGCGACCAAATTAACATATCGACATCATGTATGTTTATATTCGGTACATTTCTATCAAGATTAAGACGAATGTACTGTCTTTGATCTGTGAACTCGTTTGGGTTTTGTTTCAATTGTTCGCAACCATACGGAAGATAAGTTCCTTACACTAAGAAACAAAGTTCGATCGTGAAACACGTCCTTCCATGCAGTAGCATTAGCATCGAAGATAATCTTAAGTCATACGATTTTTCAGTTAACGGCAGTATCGATTGTGCAAACACTTGATAGGAATGTTGCTCAAATGGTTGAGAATATACCATACGCCAGAATCGTACATCATCAACTCGTTTGTCTCTTCTAAAACATCACTCAATTCTTAAAATTAACGGTACAACAACATCGTTATTACTCACAGCATGGGAAACATTAACATCTAGCAATAATAAAGACAGATAATACAGTTTTATTGAGTTGGTAAAGTCGAAATTGACTTGGTAGAAGCGTTACATGTGATATTTACCAAACGATGCATATTTTCATTTTAATTATATTTTCATCTTTTTTAGTTAAAAACAAATTATAATATATAAATACTATTTAGAGAATCTTTTAACCCATTTTAATTCTCATGCACATTCAAGTTTCAATCGTTTCACAAAGTGTCGAAATATTCCAAATTCTACACAAAATAGTTCCAAAGGTTTGCATTGTTCACAATGTTATGTTTATTTCGTAGTGAACGATATTGCAGACATTTCAATAAATAACTTTTCAGCAAACACCAATTATTCGGTGCCTTTTGGTGTCTATGTCATTTACTCTTCGATCTTTTGTAGAAACATATCAAACGCATAATCATTTCATATTAGACAGGTATGTTCATCGTATGCCAAAAAGGGAACGGTGAAGGATATGCGAAGACTAATTGTATATTCGTTTAGCAGTTCTAGATTTTCCCTCAAATATTATGCGACTTTTCCCATACACAAAGAATAGTCGACATTTATGGAAGACTACAAATAAGTCGACCTCCTTTTAACACATGACTTAGATATTTTGGTTTCCTATTAAGAAATTTTTGAGTTAATGATGCTAAACATGTGGTAAACTCTGTGTGATTATTTTACATTGCTTTGATTTTATTTATTTATATTCATGATTGAAGGTCAAATATAATATATCAAATTTTTCTTGTGATATTAAGTGAAATCAAAATGTACTATCAACATCATCATCTGCGAAGGAAAATTCACAAATTCACACCTCATTTCTCGGATATAATGTCTTATTTGATAGTTTCTGTAAGCAATTTTCGCAATTAATACCATCCAAAATCTAAAAGATGCTTTGAATTATTTCTGCCCATAATAAATGTCCAAATACGACCATATATGGAGCCATTGATGTAAATAATTTGGATAAATATAGTGATTTGCACTAAACAGTCAATTACAATTTCGTACACAAATAAGGTCCACAATTAGTAAATTATATTATCTGTTTAAGTAAAGAATAATAGCTGTTCTCTTTGTTTAAGAAACTAAGGACCATTAATTATTTATTCAAGAAAAAATATTTTTTATTGATTGAAATATTCCTTTTTAAAAGGAGCATATCTAGTCGATTTCTTGATTTGTTACACTGAACGGGATTGTTCAATTTTTATTTAGAATTTAATTATTTATGTTTAGTTATTGTTAAATTAATGTATACTTAAAACACTCAATTTAAATCCCTAATATTGATATGATTGTCTATGAAATGGGTGATTTTCTTTTTTCTTTACACTTTAATCATTCATTAACAAAAAGGCAAATGTAAATAGTAATTAATAAGAATTCATTTTATTGTACAAAGTTTAAGAAAAAGTGCAAAATTACATTTTAGATATCAACATTTATCATTTTTACGTATTCTAGATTTCTTAAAAACTTTATTTTATAATTTTAGAACTTGTTTAATATTCGTCAAAGTATAGAAAATAGAATTTGAAGAATATGCAACACAACTATGTGATATTTCAACAAATTTTATTCCAAAGTGTAGTGATTTTTAGGTTAAACATAGTACATGCCAATATCCGGTTTTCGTGTCGAGGAATAAGAAGACTTTAGTCTTTTTAGTTACGAAATCTGCTGACAGCTCACTAAATAGCATCGTGGCACAGATGACAGGAGCTTTAAAATAACATGTACCAATGTTAACGCATTGTATTTCACCTTGTGACGATTAGTTTATTGAAGTAGAAAGAAATAAGTCATAGCTCCTATACAAAAGTAAAGATTATTCTTGGACTAAAACGGGTGCAAAAATTCACGTGTTCCTCTAAATTGTGCTTTAAATATAACAGGAAACCAGCAATACAATTAACTTTTTTGGTTAATTCCATTTCATCATTTACGCTAGCTATACTTTAGTCAATCACTATCTAGCTTTGTTGGGACGATATAAAGAATTGAAAGAAAATTCGGAAAAAGCTGTTGCATAAAAATATATTGTTAACTTACTTTAAATTTCAGTTTAATTTCAGTTTTGAAATTAGGATGTTAACTTACTTATGGCTTACCGTACTTACCTTATGAATTAACCATTTTTTAACTTTCAATTCAACTTCTTATTGGATTTAACTTAAACCAAAATGTAAAATAGCATCCCCCATGACCGATTGGATAACGTTTATTTTTGTAATTATTTTCTGACTGAGTTTATATAATGTTAGTATTATGTTTTCTATCAGATAGTTAAGAATACTATCGTGACATGATTTTCATTTTCTTATTATTTATTAGGAATTCATCCTACATTCCATAAACTATTGATTGTTCTTTAGCATTGTCTTTAGGATCTTGAAGGATCATGATTCACAGTACGTGAATAAGAGTTAATTGAAAACTAAGATAGTACACTGGTTGTGACGTGCTATTAGTAAACCATTGGTGCATTTAAAAGTACCAAACTAGTACAGCTTTTGTATACATGTGGTTGTGTATCAAAATAAGATGCAAAACGTATTAACAGGCATATTAAGATCTAACAGAGTTGTATACAGTATATTCAGAGTATTATCATCCAAGATTTAAGACAGTGAAAGAGAACAGTCCCTGGTTTCTTTACTTCACAATCTTTATAAATACTAAAGATAATTGACTGGAATAATACCAGAGAGAATAATAGTAGAACAGATTGTTGTACTAGATTTTAATTAATATATAATAGATCTTGTAATATTGTTTCTCATTACGAATAAACTATGCACCCAAAATACTGCCTGTCTCTCCTTTTTCTATACTCCGTCTTGATCTGCTGTATGTATTTCTTTTGTTATTGAAAACTTGCAATTAAAAATTTAGGTCCTTAATCAATAATGTAATTCACAAAGAGTGAATTGTACTGATTGCAATTTCTAACGCAATAACAAGGTTTGGTATAACCGTATACATCCTCCCGGAAACGACTATACACCACTGTCTGACTGGTCATACATGTATATACAGGTAACAAAATATATTTATTTGAATATGTCGAAAAATGTTAAGGAAATCCCTCGTGCTTGTGTTCCATACAACGATTCACAGCTTGGCAGATATCTCTTAGCCGTCCTCCCCAAACAACGAGAATTACGAGAAAATCTGAAATGATGAAAGTGGTGCAGTCATGAGGAACGAAAATGACAATCTTGGATCATTGAAATAAAATGAACTGATCATTTCTTCTTTACCTTTTTGGGTCAGTGAAGAGAAGTTGAGTAATTCAGGGAAGACTTAAATTTCCAAGAGCAGTAGAAAATAACCGGATAACAGTCGGTCGTTGGTCTGTAGATACTTAACCTAATGAGACCACTCACGGTAATGCTGA